ATCCTCAGTCTGTGACGGATAGAGACTTAACAGAAATGTATTCAGAAAGGAAATCTTAGGGATTATTGTTTTATATTCACCTCAAGACATAATCACCTCTGTACATTTTATATTCGTTTGTTTGTTCTTGAAAAGTAAAAACCATCTGGCTTCCACTTGTTTCCCCCTAATCAACCCGAGGCTGTACACTTGCTAACAAGGGAGTGCCATCCACCCATAACCTGAACTAAGATCCCTACTGAACACACACACACACACACACACACACACACACACACACACACACACACACACACACACACACACACACACACACACACACACACACACACACACACACACCTCAGTTAAGTGAGTGATATAAATAAATAACTGGTCCACTGAGCTACGACAAGTTGAGCTCCCAGAAGCCCTCAGGAAACTCCCAGAGTTCCCTCTCGTACGTCATTAGTGCATCCTGTTGCCTAGCACCCCCACACATCACCCACCTCCGTAACACCTAAAAAAAAAGGCTAGGGAGCATTATCGTTTGATATGCAGACATTTCAAATCCGATCCCCAGTATTCAAACAAAATGTATTAAACGGCAGCAGATAGGTGACAGCATGGTTTGGAGTTTATACTATGGAAACATAGAAATATGCAGTTCTTACATGATAGCGCAAATGTTCATAATAAATGCATATTATAAACAGATTAAGGAATAAAGTACATCGGTGCCTGTTTTTCTGCAGAGAGATGAGCAGTGCTGAACACTAACTGACCGTCTGTTTTTGCATTGATCCCATCTCCCAATGCACCCCCCCCCTCCCCTCATGTCATGTTGCTAATCAATGCATTCTAACTAAACTTGCCCGAGGGCAAGAGGGGGTTAGTGAGGCCAAACAGAGGAAGTGCCAATCTGTGGTGGAAAGAGTTGGAGGGGAGGAGAGACAGAGGAGACAGTGAGCCTATGAGGAGAGAGAGAAGAGGGAGTAAAGAGTGAAATCTGCTCCATCTCTCAAAGCATCCATCAGGACAGGCTGCTCTACACTTTCTTTAAGCCAGGATTAGAACTACAGGTAGGACATGGAAAACACGACAGCCCCCTCCAACACCTTGGAGCTGGTGTTTAAAGAAGACACTGCACTGACAGAGGTGAGGCTCGCACTTTCAAATCACAACTTCTCAACCCCTGTGTTTTCTTATTTTACCTGATAAAACATATTGCTTAATGCAAAAAGACTAAATCTAATATGGCAGGGTTTTATTTGTACATTCTAGGGTTAGTTAACATCACAGGAGCACCTTTATAGCTTAGACCAGGGGTTCCCAAACTTTTCAGCCCGCGACCCCCAAAATAAAAAAAAGTAATCAATTTTTTTAAATTATTATTATTTATTTTTTTCCATTTTTATTTTGTAATCATCTCGCGACCCCCACTTTGGGAACCCCTGGAAGCCTTAGACTACTGATGATGTTAAACACGGATATATCAAAGAAATATATATATAATGAAGAAAAAACTAAAGACACATAGCGAGTGCATTACTTCCTTTGTTGTTGGTCGAAAGTTTGCTTTGTGGAGATTCATCCTACTTTTATTCAAACTGCTCTGCTCACTCTTCATAACCTCTGTTCAGAAAGTGTTCTATGATTTTCCTGTTCATTTGAATGTCCCAGTTGTGTTGATCAATAGAGGAGTTGAAACACTCACTACTCAAAACAATTGCAAATTCATGAACCAGTTTTAAGTCAATGCTGCTTCATAGCTTCAAAATGTGAGGATTGCTTCACTTTCTACATCCTACTTCTCTGTACTTTGTATTTGTTTGTCTCATCAACAGAATGTTAGTTTGAAAGCATGGGTTATCTAGCCAAATGTAAATATTCAGCCTTGTGCTGCTTTCTATTGGTTTTTTAGGTTTTGAACTGATAGAACGGGGGGAAATATGTAAATGTGTCATCAGGCTCTATGCAATTGTGATTGCCTTATTTATCAGGATATCTTTGTGGTGCACCTGGAAGCTGTCAAGGTAGCAATATGGTCCTGTACCTGAACTGATCACTATTAAAAATATCTAAAAAGATCAAACATTTTTAGAAGCGCTTCATTTTTTTAATTTGCCAGAACTTCTACAACATGCTTCTTGGTTTGTTATTATGATGTTTAGTCTGTATAGTCTTTCAAAGAGGAGTTCCAGGAGTGTGTGCTGTGAGCTTTGGCCTCGTCCTGCCCTCTCCACCTGGTAATATCATCTCTACCTGCTCTGCTCCTCCTCTAACCCCCCTGCAGATGATGCGTCTGCGGGTGTCCTCTCTGCAGCGCTCGGGGCAGAAGCGTCAGGATGGGGAGCGCCTGCTCCTCCCCCACGAGGCCGTGTACCGGCTGGACTTCCCCACCCAGGAGCTGCACTTCTCCCGCTGGTACTTCTCCCTCTCAGCCCACGGGCGGGTGACCATCACCGGTATCTCTCAGCATTGGACCCCCGACCTCACCCACCTGATGACCCGTCAGCTGCTAGAACCCATCGGAACGTTTTGGAGAAATGCCAACGACCCAGAGGAAACCCCGCTCAAGTGGCTGGAGGCGGACATGCAGGAGTTCGGCGAAAGGATTGCTGAGCTGGCGAAGGTCAGGAAGGTCATGTACTTCCTGTTTGCTTTCAAGGATGGGGCAGAGGCTGTAAATCTAAACTGCTCGGTGGAGTTCACCCCGGAGGAATGACTGCAGTCTGTCAGTACCATCCTGTTAGTGCTGCATCGCAATACTTTGTTCAATATTTGACCCTAAGAGAAACAAATATATCATCTCACATACTCTCCCTCAAAATGTCTTTCTGATCTCTTCATCTGCTGGTGTTCTGTAATTGTATAGTAACAAGATTGTAGTTCAAACATTTTTGTGCACAACTTAGGGTAGACTTAATACCTTACCACCTAACTACTTACAACATTTCAAGGACGTCAAACATATTCAGAAAAAAATAAAAAGTATGCATGCACTTTATTTACAGGGAACTAGTGCTACTTCAAAGAACAATGTATCTCTAAAATAAATTAAACGTGAGCAGAAATAAGAGCATTCTTTAAATAAATTCTTAAATAACAAACGTATGAGGATAGGCTCTATACATCCACTTGTTAATAAAACACGCCTTTCCTGATTGGCCACATGTTGTGATAATATGTTTGAGTTTACTGGTTGGCTGAATATTGTAGTAATGTGTTGAATATATAACTGTCTTTATATTTTCTTTCTGAATTATCTCATGGCTTGCTGAACAGAACAAGTAGCAGTGAGTGGAATATCAAATATTCACATTGCATGTGACCGTCGGCCTGACACAAACTCAGATCAATGCGGTGACATCTATTAAACATTGACTGAAAGCTGTCCCTGTGTTCTCATTGGTGCTGACTGTTGTTGGTGGGACTTGCCAAAGCAGCAGGGGGAGGGGGGGGCAGTAATTCTACCCCTAGTGTGCCAAAAATAAAATAAATAATGAGATATGGCTAGCCTGAAGAAAATACTTTTCAGGTCATTGAGCAGAGACGGAGCATGAACCTACTGTATATCAGATATGAATATGCTTCACACCAAAACTGTTGGCAATAGTGAACACAAACAGCCTGAATCCAAAGGCTTATGTGTGCAATGGGAGAACAAATCAGGTCACACACTGCAAATATCTTGAATAAACATTAAAGCATGCTTCTTGGTGTGAAAAAACTGAAAGGATGTATTCACCATAAATACAATCAAAATGTCACCGTGTAAACTTGAAATGTATTATAATAGATCAGTGTCTGATTGTTGTACATATCAAAAAGTGTTAATCCTGACTGACCCTGTGTCCTGGGTTCTAAATATCTGCTCATTTAGGAGCTCTACCATAACATTCTCTCTCTGTTCTTTCTGTCTCCCTGTGTTTTAGTGGGAAGGACTGAGGGGGAACAGCATGTTGTTTTAAAGCTACAGTATCTGCTCGTATGTTCCAAAAGTTCCCCTCTTGTTTCAGTCAAACTTTCCACCTTACTGAAGCCAAACACTGACAGCACATGTTTCTACTGATTAAGAGATAGTTCTGCTCACAGACAGAAAGAGGACAGAGCCAGAGACAACATCATTGTACATTTAGTAAACAATCATTAAATATCATTTATATATGTTTTGTCCATTTATTTTCAGGGTGCAGGAACTTACATATTACGAATATAATTGAAAATAAATAAAAACTTCTAGCACTTGATTTTCAGCACAACAAGGGAAAAGATCATTCAGAAAATCAGTGTACTAAATAAATCAGTTGTTAGCTATTATTAAATATACTTTGAACATAACTAAATAAGTGACTGTACTAATTATTTCTAATTATTGTAAGCAAAGAAATGTATTCCAACTTTAAGAAATACCTCTTCACATATTATGTATGTGTATCATATATGTATTTAAGCATTAAAGTCAATCTGTTCTAAATGGGGGTTACTTTTGGGCGTCTCCCCTCAGGACCATAAGGTTGTCACTCCTGTCGTCATACTGCCTCTGGAGTGAGTCTTATTAACACCAGAGGTGTATTTAGTGTTTGTTCCTGGATCATTGACGGGAGTCAGGACAACTGCTCAACTGAGGCAGAGACGCCTGAAACAGCATCACTTCCTTCAGCTGCTGCTCCCCCCCGAGAGGAGCAGAGAGGTAACCAAGAGTGACACACACACACACACTTTAAACTAGATTAAATTCACTGCAATCGCTGCAACAAACAATTATTTTCATATTCATATTTTTCTAATTGTTTTCTAGATTAATAAATAAATAAATAGTCTCATCTGAAATAAATCTCAGTAAATAGGGACAAAAAGTCTATCCCGGTTTCAGAATATCCAAGAAGACGTCTGTGAAACATTTCTTCAAAAAGAAATCGAACATAGTCAGTGATTATTTTGACACACTAATGGCGCATTTCCACTACACGGCCTCGCTCGGCCTCACTCGGTATGGCTAGGCCTCGTTAGGACTGGCTCACTTTATGGCGCATTTTCATTGCAGTTTAGGAACTGGAGTAGTAACTATAGTAACGCAGTGTAGGGGGAGCCGTGATGTCATCTTCAATGAGAACCCCAGAAAAACAACATCAGCCGTTAGCTGTTAGCACTCGGAGCTCACAGCTCCTCATATCTGTTCAGAAACTAGACAAAAATTAAACAAGTACAAACCACAGACTGTCTGTGTCATGGAGAATACAGTCACTGGTTTATTTATGTCAGGTATAGGCCGTTGTTGTGAGTGTGGACGGTCGGAGCATATACTGCGTTAGCTTAGCCGATCTCCATTCAGAAAACACGCATTTTAAAAGGTTTTTCGTCTGCCGTCTGTCTGCAGACTTGTCAAAGCATTAATTCATGGTTTTTACTAACCGGTATCAGTATGTTGTTACTTCGGCATCATTTTGAAACGTG